GTAGTAGTAGTAGTAGTAGTAGTAGTAGTAGTAGTAGTAGTAGTAGTAGTAGTAGTAGTAGTAGTAGTAGTAGTAGTAGTAGTAGTAGTAGTAGTAGCACCAGCACCACCAGCGCCACCAGCAGTAGCAGTAGTGATACGGAGTATACTATGCAGGAGGTAGCCTGATCCAGTCAAGGTCCACCAATCACGTTACGCGGCGGTTATCTGTTATGTATGGTATGCACTGTACCTGTATTAACTGACCTATGGATACGGAGTACAGTACTCACACAGCAGGGATGTCCGCCACGTGGTACCTACCTACCTACCTACCTACCTACCTACCTACCTACCTACCTACGTAATTCCCTACATGCCGTACACGCCCCGCTGGGCTTATGTTTTAGTTTAGGTTTAGGTTCAAGCACAAACGTACTCCGTAAACTGCGAGGCACAATACAGTACGTAGTGAGTGGTAGTGGTGTGGTCGAGTCCTGGGCCATCGAGCACCGTGCACCGTGCACCTTGGAGCCGGTGGTAGTGGTGGTTGGCTTCAGTTCAGTGCAGTCGAGTTCAGTTGAGATCGACAACCAAGGTTCAAAGGTTCAAAGCTTCGTCGAATGAGCTGGCCGTGCAGACTCGGTCCTCCGGCCTGAGGTCCTCCCGTCCAAAATTGCTGGACACCGGACCCGCAACAACGTTGTTCCCGAGGCTGAGGCGGCAAGGGGAAGGGCGATCTAACACCTCACATCTCACATTCCAAACATTTTGGCTGCCTTCCACTTATGGAGGCCGAGTCGGAGTTTTCATCGTCATGGCTGTCATTACAGTGCCTACTCCTTACTAATTACCTAGTAGGTACTTGGCTGGAATTCCCCCCAGGTACTGTACTGTCCCGGGCTTGTCATGGTCATGGTTGCTGTCCCTATCATTGCGGATTGTCATGTTCCTAGGACTGCTTCCACCTCTCAGAAAGTCAGGTTCTCCCCTCCTCCCGCCATACATGTAAGCCTTAGGCTATGGCGAGTCAGAGCAATGAAACTTTTCCCAAATCCCCCTCCGTCAAGGCACCACATAATGCAACACCGCAAGCCAATCCCATCACAAACCAAAAACCCAAAATACTGCGCACTGGCGCCGCGCTCAAACCCCCGGAAATCCTGCTCTTAGGCACTGGCGGCCGCCATAACGCCACGCTAAATAGGCTTCTGATATACAGGACAAACAATCAATCTCCCCCAACTCGACCCGGTGGCTTGCACGGGGCGGGCAACTCCACAGCATCGTCAATCTTATGGTTTGTCCCCAAGAAGATGGAAGATGACGTCGTACAGGAGTTCCACGGCATCATCACAGCTGCCTGCCGCGCCCTTGTAGAGCTGGGCCTTAATGGCCTCACCATCGGTGTCGCTCAGGGCCGCCTCGAGGACTTCCAAGAGAGGATCAGGGTATTCCCCGTCCTCGGATTTGACCTGGACCCTTTCGAGCCGGACGATCAACCTTAGGTGGCAGCTGCTAAGGCTTCTGGCGCTGGTGTTCCATAGCTCCAACCGTATCTCGCCGACTCCGGTGAGGGACTTCTCGACGACAAACGGGAATGACTTGACTGATTTGAGGAGATCCCTCGAATCCACGCTGAAGATGGATCGGCGGATGTCGCTCTCGCTATAGTGTGTAGAGTGGCATTCGCACTCCGGGGTTTCGCCGCTTTGTCTACAGCGTAGGACGGTTTGTTGGAGAGATTGGTGGCCGTCGTCGGTGCCTACAAGCGGGGAGGTTGAGACTGTGTTGTAAACGGTGGCCATTTCGTGAGAGTCGATGTTTTCAAGGAGCCCCAGAGAGAGGAGAGAGGAGAGAGAAGATCAGGGACTTGGGATAGTTGTTGTGAAGAGAAGACCAGTCTGGATGTAAGGTGATTGATGTTGATGGATAAAAAGGAGGAAAAGGGAAAGATAAAGAGAAGACCAGTCGGATGTAAGGTGGTTGATGGTGATGGATAAGAAGGAGGAAGAAATGTAGAACAAAAGGGAAAGATAAAGAGAAGACCAGTCAGATGTAAGGTGGTTGATGGTGATGGATAAGAAAGAAGCAGAAATGCAGAACAAAAGGGAAAGATATACTGTAGAGAAGGAGCCATCACAAGCATAACCGGGCGTGAAGGAGGAAGAACACAACCGGGCGTGAAGGAAGGATCGTTCGTATTTGTATTGTTCATTCACTAGTGGCACGCAAAAAGCCCGACAAGGTTCTGCAACTGACTCAAGTGCCAACCACAAACATAGTGTGTGAGGACCTAGCACTGCTCCAGTATCTTGTTAGCGCTTCCCAGCAACAGCGGTATGGAGGGAGACCTATCAAAAAAGGTAGAGAACTGTCCAAGGAGCATGCAAGCGTCCAGGGACCGTGCTCTGAGTAGTACCTCATATGGTTGTAGACACAAACTCGTGTAAAAAGGCATTCTGCGAGACTTCAGCCATGCCATCAACTCCCATTTCTGATCCGTCACTTCAAATGAGCCTGAAGTCATCCTTGTTGTGCTCAATAAACCTCATTCACATCAGTCGCCCAGAGCAAAACTTCTCACAAAGCATTTCTCACATGGACAAGAAAAGGGGCAAAGACAATGCCAACAGACGGCAAGCCGCAAGAACAGACAAGCCGAAGCTTTGATCCTCACTCAAGAGAGGTCCCGTCTCGACAGCTTGGTGATCCCATCTGTGTCTAATGCCTTGACGATTTTCCAGTCCAGCAATTCACTGCAAAGGAGAATTTTCTGCCTGAAGCCTGGGAGCACTGCTGAAATGGGCTGAAATGAACCAACTAGACTTCGGAACTTGTTGCGACAAAATCGGACCCTGGACCTAGACGGAAGCCGATGCGAGACTGGAAGGGCAGTCTGCTTGACACAGTTGGTAAGCATAATAGGTACAGAGCTGGCAGGTATATTCTCCCTGCGCAACAGTCAAACTCCTTCAATTCACCTCCAGCAGTCGTTCCTTCGCGGCTCATAGCTGACGTCCGTGACATCCTCCATGCCTCTTCTTCTGCAGCAAGCAGATCCCATTCTCAAGTCCAATGTCCAATCCCTGCCGAACAGGAGTAATGCCTCTCTCGTGTGTGATACAGTAACCTCGGAGACAAGATTTTGGTTTCCTCTTCCGTTATACCAAGGTGATCTGGCAAGGTCGAAGGGCTTTCGCCATATCTCAGGCCAGGGCGCACAAAGAACGTATTAAAAAAGCGCCCTCTTCCCACCGAAATGGGGGTCTTCATGTACCCAGAGATCCGAAGATCCAGGGTCCACTGAATCGGCGCTCTCCATCTCACCATGCTTGACATGATGTGGATGATTAACTCGGCTGATCGGGATCTTCTGCAAGCAGAAGGACACATCTGGTAGCTGTTGCTTTGATGTGCGGTGGGTGAATGAGCTGCCGCGCGTAGGCGGTGCGGATACAGACCAGAGGTGGAGAGGAGTGGCAGTCGAACTGCGACAGATTCATGTGAAGAGACGTGTGCTCTGGCATTGCCGGCCGGAACAGGCAAAGGGCCAAGTTGAAGATGCGCCGATACGGAGTCTCGAAGGAACCTCTGAGACCTGGCTACAAGCACCATCAAGCCTGATTCCGACCAGTGGATCCCATCGGCTCCAACGAGAACTCCCAGCGATCTTGTGTGTAGGCTGAAACCGACTTTGCGTTCTAGGCAAGATACCACATGCGCTTCTCGACACATAGAATCCCCTCCGCTCTCTCGTAATCGGCTCCACGCTCATATCAGCCAGACCATCCCATGTGTGATCACGTATAATGTTCAGCTTGGGAATGCCGACGCGCGATCCGTGAGGACCCTTACCCAATCTGACGCATGGCAAGACCGTCTTTCACTGCCTCGTGCGAGGCTCTGAACGTCTGGTATCTTTTGACCTTGCCCAATCCCTCTTGCCATTCTTCGCCGGAGCAAATAGTAGACAAGAGGTACGCGGGCGAAGCTAGTCAAATACCGACAACTGGACCGCGAAACTTCGAACCGACAAACATCTTAGGGTTACGTTCCGATACACATCCCGCCAATACCCAGTATCCCATCCCTGTTGCAGTTATGAGACCATGCTCTGAGGCTCAGCGGTCGGAAGGGCAGGTAAAGGAGGCTCAAGAGCTCGATGTATAAAGGGAAACTCGGCGGAGATTGAACTGTATAAGGGGCCCGGAGGGCGAGAGGGTGGTGGACAAGGGACTCGAGTGAGGGTGGTGTTCTGCCGCGTTGGGCAAACAGACATGAGAGGGACGGAATCGACGGCAAAGGTTCGAGAGCAAAGGTCATGAAGAAGGCGATTGAAAGAGCTGAAGACGGATGACGCAGTGCAGAGACAAGAGGCCATGCAGAAAGCTCTATAAATACACTGTACAGAGTAGGTGCTCAGTACAAGCAATTGAGTACCTAATATTGAGATGGAAATGGACGTTGGAAGTTGGAGGTTCGACGCGTCGCGTTGGTCGGTTCCATTTGGGGTTAGATCCAAACTGCATGCACTTCACGCAGCTGCAACAACAGCAACACCGCAGCCAGTTCTATCCCGTCCAACTCGATCGTCTGTCTCACTCTTCCAAGTCGCCTCACTCTTCTAAGCATGCATCGAAGGCAGATAGCTAGCTAGACTACGACACACCACACCAACTTAGCGCCCCGTCTACATGAGTCTACGTCGGCCTTCAAAAGCCATTCCTTGACTTGGAATTCTTGTCACTTTCTTCAAACCAACTCAACCATCAGAGCTGCTGCTGACCATCTGTGGAAATACTAAATAGCAGGCTGTTGGGTTTTACCATTTCTCCCAGTCTTTTAGCTGATGTTCTAACTGGTGACCACCGCCTACCCTTGAGGCTTTTTGTCCCTGGTCTTACTTGAAGCTTGTTGGCTGCGTTCACGGCTGGCTATCGATTGTGTTACGGCAAGGGACATTATGTGGAAAATCATCAACATGTGCACTTCAGTGCAGGCTGTTCAGCCACAGCTTCACGTGTCAAGGCAAGGTACTTTGTTGTCCGCAGCAACTAAGGCACACCAATCCTCAAAGTATGCAAGGCGTAACACAGGCCCTATAGGAGCCGGCAAAATCAACAAGCAACCCAGGCATAACTTAATGGCGAGGAATCGATGTTGAGGTGGCCGCGCCTGAGGCGGCCTCCATGGCGCTTCCCCTTGCCAAACCACCCCTGGCACCACGTTAATCCCAATACGGAAATCCTGACTGTTGACCTCCACTCCGACTTACATGTCTCTTCTAATATAATCTGTCTACTATGTTGCCAGTCCAACTCGGGTTTCGAAAAGACAGTTGATCCAATCTAACCGTCAAACCGGCTTTTCAAAGGCTTTCATGGGTTACTACACTCTACTGCATACTATCCATCGATCTCTGGTATCCTCTCTGTAAAGTCGGAAGGCAAACAGTTTCTTCAGCCTCACCGATGGCCCAAAAAACTCTACATGGCCCAGGAGTCCCAAGGCTCATTTTCCAGGATGGACAGTCTTCTCGTTACAATAGTCCGCTTACGAAGCAGGAGATTGAAATCATCACGCCGGTACTGCAGGCTTTCACCAATCAAGGCGTTGGCCGTGAGCGTATGTTGGAAGAAGCCAGCCGCCGAATCAAGAGACCTATCACAATGGCGCAGATTGATCGACTACGATCCAAACTGGGGCTCCTAGATCGCCAGAAGTCGGGTTCACGCAATCACTCCTCCAATTTCAGCTCCAGCACTTCAAGCATCATTGCGCCTCCTCCGTCTGAATCGGTTACAAGTCTATGCGGAGCACCAATTGACGGGTACATGGATATCAACTCCAGTGAGGACACAAACCCCGGCGTGGCGGAATCATGGATACGCGCCATGGATAAAGAGGACATCCTGGAGGGAGAGCGAATGGAGACACAGACTCCATCGTCGAATACTGGACGCCCCGGTACCTTGCTTGCCGTCATGAAGCCATTCGTGGACTCTGAAATTCCGAAGCACCTCGAGATTTGCGTCTCACCAACGCTTGGTAGCCTTCCACGGATTGGAGAAGGGTTCGCCAATCGCAGGAAGGATGCGGTATATCGTCCATCACGATTAGCTACTGGGTTATATATGGCCGCAGTGACCGACACAACCCTTGACGATCAATTAGTTCCGAGATTAAACCAGACTGCCCTGGTGCTTCATACATTAAGAGCATTCGACCAGGCATTCGACGTTTTCTTGACCATATTTGGCCACCTCCGTCAAAGCCAGGCAGATTCCCCCGCTCAACAGTTTCAGGTGGTCGTCGCAGCAATCAACTGTGCCCGTTCGGCTCGCACACGAGTTCATCGAGAAGTAGCTCGGGAAATACTCGAGGAGGTTCGTCACCGATTAGCATTGTATTTGGGAGTGGGGGTCATCGAGCATACTAATATCTGGATGTACCTGACACACCTGCACTGCGAGCTTGCTCCGAAGGAAGCCGGCAATCTCGTCGAATCCTTACCAGTCAGCCTGGAAGCTCAGATTGCCCACTGGACTGTCACAGCTTCATGTTGCCGCAATGGCCTAGTTCATGAGCCTCCTAATGTTTGGGACCATCTCAGTACTCAGACTGTCCGGCAAGTGTTCGACGACGCTTTGGCACATATTCGCAACTGTGAGCGCAGCCGAGATGCTATCACTGATTCTTTGAGAACCACGCTTGATTACGTCGAGGCAAATTCGGTCTACCTTGATATACTTCTAGACCAGCATTGGGGAGCCTGCGGCAAGGATGGCAGTCATATTGCCCAGGCAATTTCCTGCTTGATCTTTGAAGATCACTTGGAAAGGTGCGCAGTATCTGGAAACAACATCTTCAGCGCGTCAAACCAGGTTTGCTCTTACTGGTTTCCCCAGGGTGACCTCGACGCCTACGCTTTACTCGACATTCCCTTTGTGTTAGTCTCCCTAGTCCTGAAGGCGATACACGATGAGATAGCAACAGAACACGATAGGCCCTGGTATCAGCTGAAGTTTTTGCAACGACCTTTCCCACCGCGCCCAATGGAGATATTTCGAAATATAGCGATCGAACTTCTACACGACATTAACTCCGCCCTCGATGTGGTTGTGGTAGAAATCATGCATCTCAGAGCCATGAGTTCGTCCAGGCCTGACATGGTCCAGCTTGTTCCCCGCTCTAAGATATTTGCTATTGCCGCCGCCGCCGCCGAGCTATTACCCATCTCAGACTCCATCAGGCCGGGTTCAGGGGAAGACGAGAGACTTCCGGACCACGTCTGGAACTTTGAAGTTGTGACTCTTGCGGGGGGGCACTATTCTAGCGGTTCAACTACAGAGCGGCTATCTGACTCGATGTTGAGCTTGCCTCGATCTTCGACCAGTTCCGGCTACAGGTCTTTTCGACACCTCTCTCGGCACATCCGGGACAGTCTCGCTGCATCTTTCCAGTCTCAACCAACCAAGACATCGAGCGGTATCTCTTCACACAGGAGTTGGAGGCTTTCTGCGATCACCGGTCTGTCTGCCAGCCCTTAAGTCCGAGGCGCCTTGTCTGGCTGAACCTTCATATTCCCGCAGACCGGAGTTCTATGCCATGTGTTGACGCTTCGTCCATATCCGACCCCGGGAAGACGCTATCTGCTTTGGTGCAGATCTAACCTCATGGCTATCTGATCCAACTCCAATCTGCCTCGTCGATTATACATGCTGTGATATTGATGACTCCAGTTACTGCCATTGCCAGCCCCTACTGCTTATTTACCCTCTGCTTGCTCAGAACTCCCAACCCCGGGCAAGTTTTGGTCATGCTTAGGGCCTGTATCAGCAGCTACAGACAGGGCATTCCATGGCTCTTCGGCATGCAAAAAACGCTGAACTCTTGAAGGATTCGACGGTTCCGCTCCATGTGCTGCATGTTCCGAGTTGGGAGGTGCCCCCATGGGCATGTGATCCAGCTCTTCGAGCATCGGATCTGGGACGTGGGACACACCGCCGGCCATATTGTTTGTCTCACGGGAGGGCAGGATGCCGAGAAGATCCTCCTCTTTCGAATCGGCATGTCGTGGCGGGCTGACTTGAGAGGTAGACATGGTGTTTCTGCAAACATCATTAGATCAGCAACTTGTTCTGTCATAGTCTGGTGTTCTGCCCTGCTAACCTTGGTCTGACTTTGGCGTTGACGTAGATGGAAATCCCTGTCTCAAGGCGCGCGATGAAGGAAGGACGGATTTCACTTTGGAAGGGGCATTGCATTTATATACCTCTTCATTCTACAACTCAGCTGTACAAATCCCCTTGAGCCGGGGATGAATGATCAATCTGCGTGAGGCACGCTAGGACTCGGACGCCGGGCAGAAGACATTCTCTGCCACCCACTCGCCATATTTTACGACGTACGTCTTGCTGGAACTCTTTTAGGAAATGCTGTGTCGCTACATGCCTCGAAGGATAACAAACCGAGCGAATCAGAAACCATCGTCGCCTCCCATGTCCCATATCCCGGCTTGGGGCGTGTAAGTCAAGTTCACCGCCATTCAGCCCCAGACGACGCAATGAGACCGGTATCTGTGTCAGGATACCATCATGCTTTAGCCTGTGACGGGCGATCGAGATAAACCCCGAGGTGGAGGTGGATTCGTCTTGACTTAGAACTACTGAACATGGCTAAGCGGCGTGATGAGGGTTGCAGGTCGATGTGACTGACTGACTGACTGTTTGAGCGCCACATCACTCAGATCAAGCCAGCTCTTTAGCGGACGGATGCGCCAGTCGGGCCGATCCTCAGACGATTGAGGAAATGATGAGTGTGATAGTATGCAGTAGGCAGTAGGCAGTAGACACTATGCAAGGGATCATTATCATTCATATCCCTTTGCGTTAACTAAGCTGGATTAGGAAATGCGGACTCCTGTCTCCATATAACGTGTGCTTCCGGAGCTGAGGAAGTTGATTGCACGGGCTTCGAGTCAGGGTCAGTATTAAAGTCCGGGTCAGACTTGGTCAACAGTCAAGTCAGGTCATGCGATGCGATGCGAGGCTCCTTAGGCCCGACCGCCCTCCGTCCGTAGGTACTTAACAAGTACATACATAGTACATACATAGTACATACATACGTACCATCACATCTTACAAGGGGAGCACAGCCTCGTGCGGAGGTGGAGGTGGAGGTGGAGATGGAGCCAATTGATGCATCTATGTACGTACATAATATAATTAACCCTAACCCTGACGGATACAGATAATTACTTCGTACGTATATAATATCCCATGACCCCTGGCTGGTTGGACCCCTGCTCCCTAACCCCTACTTACTTAGTTACTTACTTAGTCATTGCCTTCATGTGTGTGTGTGTGTGTGTCTCTCACCACTGATCACGACTCGAGGTGTGATGTGATGTGGCTAGACTTAAGCAGTACGGATATAGTGTCCCTCTGTCCACTCACCACCTCTATCATGTCATGTCATGTCCAACAGCCTCTTCTCCCTTAGATGCGGAATGCGAAGGGAGCTTCCTTGTGCCAGGGTAAGTGACGCAACGTACTGCGGACTGCGGGCTGATACGGATACGCAAATAGGGAAGAGAGAGATCTAGGATATGTAGGCGACCTTCATAGATCATCTAGGAGATATACCCGAAGGCAAATAAACAAAACATAAACCAGGGCCACGGGCCAGGAACAGAAGCTGCCTACCTAGCAGTGAGTATAGTAGTGACTGAATACCATTACGATTGCCAGGGCAATTTCAATTTCAATTTCAATTTCAATTCAGCTTCAATATTGTATTGATTTCATAGCTTATAGCTCATAACTCATTGCTCATTGCTCATAGCTTGTCTCATAGCTCATAGCTCATTGCTCATAGCAGCCCATTTCTCATCCCGTGCTGAAGGAAACGCTCATAGCTCATAGCTCATAGCTCATTTCTCATAGCTCATAGCTCATTTCTCATAGCTCATAGCTCAATTCTCGTCTCTTATCCCGTGCTGAAGTAACCTACAGCCAGTCCAGCCATCATGTCATTCCGCAAAGTGTTCCATGTCGTTCCATGTTCATCAATCCCCGACGCCGTTGTGCCCGGCACTCTACCGGCAAGAGAGTAGTTGTTAGCATCCCTCGCCATCAGTCGCCATGCTCTGCCATTTGACGTCTTCTCTCAGGCCCGTGTGGGATGTCAACTCACCTCACTTGAGACTTTCACCCGAAACGTCGTCATTAGTCTCGGCGACGTCGTCCTCGTCCTCGTCATTTTCGTCCTCCTTGGCCGTCAGGACTCGCTCCAATCGGTCGGCCAGGCAGGCACCACACGGAACCGACGAGTTGTTGAATAGCAGGCGCAGAGGTCGCTCGTTGCGGCTGGTGCAGGGGATATCCGCCTCACAGAGCCTCTCGAAGTGCACGTCGGGCCCGCTGGTTCTCCCGCAGTCGGGACAAACGCCTCTGAAGATAAGAGTAACACACATGATTCGTAGAGTGATATGATCAAGTGAAGACTAGGTTGGGTCGTAGAGTGATATAGGAAATTGAAGACTAGGTTGAGGCGAGGGGAGGGGCGTTTGAATCGAGTTGCTTTTGCTTTTGGAGAGAGTAGCTTCAGATCGAGTGGTTGGTCTTGGTTCAAGGTTGATTTGATCGAGGGTTTGCTGTCGGGCTCGGGTATGACTGCGAGGTAGTTGCAGAACAAAGTAAAGTAGGAAGACAGTGTTTGATGAGAATGACAAACGACCAAGGATAAAGGAGTGTCTGGGGAAGATTTTATAGTGCACCATTCTGTCGTTTTCGCGCCGAGGGATGCCGAGAGATTTCATCCCGATTCGGACAGTGTATGTGCATGGATAGCACGACAATGGGGAGAGCCTGTTGTGGTAGAGATCCTGGTGTTAGTTGTACGAGGACACCTGTGTTAGAGGCACCAAAGGACAGGTCGTGGTAGAAGCTGGACTGTATGCATTGCATGGTCAAGACAAACGACTTGTGGCTATTGTCCACCCCAACTCCATTGTTTCACTACCATGTTCACCTTCTATTGAATGCGGCGGTCGACAGCATTGCAAACGTTATGATCACACTCATTCAGAAAAGAAAATACCGTGGTCGTTGTTGTGGATAGACCATGACAATATCACCTATCACTTGCTTTGTCTGCCCTCCCTCTCCAGCACACTGCAGTAAGCTCAGTGCAGGTGTGGTCAAACAATTGCAAGTGTCGACTTTGATGATCTGCTCGGCACAATGGATAAGAACAATCTTCCAGTAGAACATTTGAGACTGGCAAAAACAAGTGAAACCGAGAATCAACGCGACGGAGTGATCGAATTCAGATTCGAGTCTGGGACCGATAAACGTTGACTTATATTTAGATCTTGTCCTGACCTGACCCTGGATGTCTGTTTGATAATGATAACGTAAAGGGCAATACAACGCTGCCGAGTGTTTCGGATGGTGAGAGCTTGAGAGCTTTGATCTACAATGGCATTTTGTTAGTGATAGACATCGGCCCCTCTTCTGAAGGAGCGTGCAATTTCAATTTCAGAAAGCATCCGTGTCTGTCTTTATAGAGCCCAGGCAGAGGCACCAGTCAGCCGTCTTTACGGAGCCATGGTCTTGGTCTTGGACAGTAGCGAGCGGGCCCAAGCGAGTGGGAACAGGAGAAAAGAGGCGAGTCTGTAGACAAGCTGCAGTATGGAGTAGGCACGAAGGGAGGTGGTGAGGAGGCCCAGAGGGTACTACGGTAGTACGGTCCTCAGTCCTACGCTCCTACGGAGTTGTCTGACCCGTCGCCTGATGCCAAGCTGTGGCTGCCAAGAGCCGTCTGGCCAGTCAGAGTGGCATCGGTGAGATTGCGATGCTTGGTAGCACCTGCCATTGGCCATGCGCGGGCCTGCCCCTTTTCCAGTTTCAACCTCGGGTGGCCTCGTGTTTCTTTCCCCCTGAGCTGAGATGCTGAGTTTGAGCTTGCACCGCCGACTGTGCGTTTCCCGCGCGTGTAGTGGGCGGTGTGGGATTCAACCACGGGTTGGATCTGAATCATCGTCATTACCAGCACCAACACCGGCACAGCTGCTGTCTGTCTGCTCCAGCGCGTTTTCCGCCAAGAATCAAAGAATGATTGCGATCGCGTCCTTACGGTCCTAGACACCATTGACCATGGATTCGTGAATATGGAACGGATACTGGGCCCCAAGCGACATGTCAGAAAACAACGTTCAATCTGGCAGATAAGATCCAGCCACATCTGTCACCGCGATGAGTGCCAGCACTGGCCCCAGTGTTACGCTGTTGACAGCTCTTGAGTGGGAGCCTCGATGAACAGCTGATTTCCCGCCTCCGCTCAGCCTTCCCGAGACCCTAATTTCACGAGGCCGCTAACCTGCAACCTGGATACGGCAACGGTGTTGGCAGAGCATCTAGAATGGTACCACGTACCCCATACTGGCCCCGAAACTGGTCCAGTCCAGCAAGGCAGCGCCTTACGCTCGGCGTCATCGGCAGTTACTACCGTTTGAGAAATCTGGAGAACGAATAAACGCGTCCAGCGCCTTCACACGCTGTCCACTGTTCAGCCCCATCCGACCTGAGTGGTCCGTTGCCACTGTCCCTGGGCCTATGTATACACTTTTTTGATTAGGTGCCCTGTGCCCGAATCCCACCATCTATATCCCCCCTACCTTCCTCCATCCCCTCTGCCTTGCTCTTTTTTTTGTTTTCCCTCCAACTCGACTGCTCGTTTGTTCAAATACATTGTTCGACCTTTGTGTCCCGACGCTCGTTCCTCTCTCACCTTCCATCGGTTCTTCCAGAGTCTCCTTCGCCGAGCTCCAGTCATTCTTTGAACCAAACACAGCTTCTCACCGAAAATGATGGTCAAATCCACCTCGGCCCTTGTGGCTGCTTCCCTCCTGGCATCTGCCATGGCCAAGTCCAAGTCCGTCGAGCCAGTTTGCAAGGTCGTCACCATCACCGAGACCGGCGCGCCCGTCTGGGTGCCCATCTCAACTGGCTGGGAGGACTGGGATCCCGTCACCTCAACTTCAACTGCCTGGGAAGACTGGGATCCCGTCACCAAGACCAAGACCATCACCGCTATCCCGCCCAAGTCCACCACCGTCTACACCGAGAAATGGGATGACTGGACCTCGAGCGCCCCTGAAGCCTTGACCGTGACTACATACACTACCATCCCTGTTCTGCCCACCAGCTCGCACACGGGCGCCTGGGGCAACACCACGGTCCCAATCACCGCTTCGTCCACTGCCGCCGCCAGCACCACCCCCACCCCTGCTCCCACGGCCGCAACCTGCCCGGCTGACAACGGCCAGGCTGTCATCCCTGGCGGCTCGTGCGGCTGCGAATTCACCGTGAACTGCGGTGTCCAGGCCAGCCCTGATGCCAACTCCAAGTTCTGGCAACAATCGGACTCGCTTGTGGACACGCTCGAGGAGTGCCTCGAGCTGTGTGACAACAACTCGAACTGCGAGACCGTTCTGTGGGTGGATGACAGCACCTCCGGCGACTACCACCACTGCTGGCAGATCTCTGGCCTGGGTCAGCCCACTGGCTCCGGCATCGCCCAGATCTCCTACAAGGGCACGTGCTCCGGCACCTGTGCGTCGACATACGGCGGCGCTTAAATCTCAAGTTGACTGAGGATTCGGATATGACTCGCCAAAGTCTGAGGGGATGGGGACGGATTGCATTGGCCGATACAGGATGCAAGGAGGTTGGTTGTTGATCAAGTATCATGTATCATGCATGCAGGATCGCAGCAGGTGTTGTTTTTCACTTCTATCTTCTCTCAATGCATGAACCAGTCCTTTTGTTTCATGCCCAATATATATCATATTATATGCATAGCTGGTGGTGGTGATGGCGGTGATGACCAGGCCGAGGACGAGGAAATCAATAACACAAAACGTGATGAAACAGTTCTACATTATCATAATGGCACTTTTGTTTGTCTCGCTATTTACTACCGTGTACAATTGCATTGTTTTCCCCAAGGCTCAGTCCTCGGCAATATTTCCAATTTGGAGTTAGACCGGTCTAAATTAGGCGCCATTAGAGGTAGTCTACTGTTACCCCAATCTGGTTAGAGCATTTCAACCTTCACTATACCGGATTGATCCGTCACTCGTCACTCGTCACTCGTCACTCAGAGTATACCAGGCAGGTGCAGGTACTTCACGTACGTCCTTCAGCTTCACAATTAGTATCCTTCGTATGACCTCTGGCTTCACTCGCAATCTTCGGATTAGCAGTTAATCCATTGCTAATTCACAGAGTCCAGTGAGTCTTGGCGGCTTTCTGACAGAAATCTCTAATATATAAAGCGCCTTGCTCATCATTTCATTTCAACTTCCTTCCTACCACCGCGGTCCTTTGTCCCTTGCCAAACATTGCAACTGAGATATCATTTTATTCTCTGTTATGAACAATCACAGCCTCATCAGACTACACTGGTACCTGATACCAGTAGCCTGCTGGATCAGCTCCAACTCTCTTATTCTCACCTTTGGTCCTCCTCACCGCAAAGCATTGTCAACCAAACAAACCTCTTCCTAGTCCTTCACATTCCATCACATCCTTACTCTCAAACTCCTCATATGTCCTACCATTTCACCAAACTACTTCACTCAACATACAACCAAAGCCACCATCAGGTGAACCGATCTTCAGGGCCTGCACTCGGGAAAGCCACGACATGCCTGGTGGGGACCAGCAGAGCGATGCTCTTAGAAAAACCTTCAACCGATCTTTGTGGGTAGCATCCACCAAGATTCGGACGTACCACTGACTTTCAACCCTTAGATACTCTTTCCACAAACTCTTCCCACTTCTCACTTCCCAGACAGTCAGCACACCCGAAGCATGGCTACAGCGACTTGTACTGTTTTGGCAATGCATATCCGCTTTGTGGGCAGCAGATGTCGCCTCCTCAAGGAGATGCAGTCTCTATCATTCGCCGCGGGGAACGGGACTCAGTTTTGGCGACAATGACACTCGCAATTCCTTTCAGTGCCCGGTGGCAGAGAGTTGCAACACCACTGAGTATTTCTGGACTAGATTGGAGTCGTTCAAGACTAGCAACAACAATTCCAGCAACATCAAGTTCTACACTCTATTCCAGCAGTATCAAATTCTACACACTGGTCCGTGGAGTGTAGAACTTGACGTTGCTGGGATTGTTGTTGTTATATATAAAGAGACGAGTTGAGGTACCCTGGGCCGCCATTCGAGAGGGTGAAGATTGCCTTCACGGGGGGGCGGCCTAGGGTATCTTCTAATCTAGTGGTCGACAATGCAGCAGTCTACCGCGCAAAGTCCAAGACAGTCAAAGGAGTCTGTGCTGAATATCTCCCGCTGGGAACTCGTATTCGCGTGGCCGATGGCCGACGACACTCCCTCAGGCAACATGCGTGAATCGGAATTCTACAGAGAGGGAATGGTGAACTGGAATTTTACAGTGAGCGGGGAATGGTGAACTGGAATTTTACAGTGAGGGGGGAATGATGAATCGGAATTTTACAGTGAAGGGGGAATGATGAATCGGAATTTTACAGTGAGGGGGGAATGGTGAACTTCGAGAATACAAAGACTACCGAGCAAGTCCTAGACGTGGACAGTGGGCATGGAAGGTTTCGACGAGCATACGGAGGACGACGAAATCTATGAGGGACCTGCGCCTACCTACAGGCCTAAGCCTTTCCGGAGCACCTGTGTTCGTGTTCGAAGGAGGGTTCGGAAGCGGACAACATATTGCATCATACATCTACCGCGCCAGACATTTAATGGTAACCTGCTTGCGAATGGCGAGGTTTGCATTCGGGATTGCAATGGAGACTTGATAAGTTCTCTTCAACGTGTGATGCGATTGACGATTAACGAGGGAAGGAACTGAGGATTGCGACTGGAGAGGTCGACCTGACCGAGCATGAGCGCTACCCCTTCTTCTTTCACAGCATAGCTTAGCTTTCTTCTCATGTAAGCGATACTCAACTCTATGCAATGCAACTGATGCAACCAAGCCATTGGGCTCCCTGCGTTGGCCTACTTACAACACTGATACAACATTAAATTACTATTACTATTACTATTACCACCTTCTATCACTGTTGGTACACATCGCCGCCACCATCACCATCACTATCATAGAAATAGAGGTGGAACGGAAACACAAACACAAACACAAACAGAAAATGTCGTTTGCCTTCTCCTCTGGCCCAAATCTGAACTCTGGTCCTGCCACGTATTATCACGTATGACAAGCAGTGACCTTCCATCGTTCGGCGACAAATTCGAGAACATCTCCTCCAAGTCTCAGGGGATCGGCGAAAATCACATCCCTCGGATTCTGGTCGAGCAGGTTCCACACTCGCCAGAGCAGGAAAACTTGTCTTTGGTCTGAATCATTCCAGCCCTCGGGCGGAATGCGCATTCGACGCATCTGTGATCCCAAAACGCCACATTAATATACAGTATAAGATGGACCGTTGGGATAAAAGAAAAGAAAAGTCAGGGGAAGGAAAGGGACGGCGACGGATATATCTTATCCTCCTCGACAGAGACAGAGACAGAACGACCAAACTCACCTTGTTATATTGTGCATTGCTCACGAACATGGCTGTTTCCAAGGGCCCGGGCGTGGTTTTGACCTCGATCAAGTACTTGATTGGCGAGTCTGGAGTGACTGGTAGAACCATGTCCGGGAGAAATGTTAGAGCGTCGTATCCCTCTGTCTGCAGCCAGGTGGTGAAATCCCCGGTTTTGTCTGTATAGACAATGTCCATGTCCGGACCGTTGTAAGCAGACATGTCGCTGTATTCGTCGATGCCGCGGACAAATCGACGAATGTTACTTTTCCAGTTTTGATGGTCTGCAGTACGGAACCCGGGCAGGTCTAAAGACAGAAGTTTCTCGTACACCTTTCCCAAGCAAGAGGATATATTGTTAGTGACGACGAGCATGGTATAATACAGGGAGGCGTTCGTGGAACCCCTGTACAGCTAAGAGGCAAAAATCCACACATCTTTGTACTTACAAATAGTTCTCCAGCAGCCCCAATCCAGTGGAAATAGTCGGGATTTGTTTTGGGAGTGCCAAAAGTCTCGACGGTATTGAACCGCTGGAACTGCTCTGCGCCAGTCTGAGAGCCTTCACGGACCTGTTGAACAATGTGCTCGAGTAGTCGATCGTACTTGCTTCTGTCATCTGCTAGGTCAGTCACTCGAACTGGGACGGTGACGGTCATGGGCCTTTCCGCTGCACGATGCAAACTCGACAGGTCTAGTTCCTGGAGATCGTTGGCCAGCGCATCGACGTCCGAGTCGCCCGCAGGCGTCGACGGTGTCAGGTCGATTCTCTCCAGCCACGTCAGCATGGGAATGTCCTGTTGCTCCAATATCTCGTGCAAGTTTTCCAACCTCTCGGTCAACAAAAAGTATAGACAATGTTGGGCGCTTCGAAATTCGATGCCGAGCAATTCCATTATCAAGTCGGGCAGGTCGATTTTGAAGGACCGCTGCAGGTCCGCGGCCTTAGTGGGCAAGTAGATTCGGATGCCCTGCTCGTCGTTTCTGATACTGGGCTTGGCCCGTTCGCTGGCGGTGGAGACGCGTTTGTTTTCGCCGGTGGCTAAGCTGAGCACGGTTTGAAGCTCTGTTGAAGTGTACACCGTGGCTTCTAGCAACAACCGATGCATAGAATCGTTGCGGTTGAAGTATTTTTTACTGGAAAAGGCCGCAGCACAACTGATCACGTGAAGAGAGCGGCATCAGCACACCATGGTCGAAAATGGTCGAATAGCAATGACAATGAAGCCTTGCACTTACCACGAAAACACATAAGCCCTCCTCCGAAAGTCAAGCGTTCTCGCCGAATCCTCAATGGCTTCGGTCGGCACTTCCGATGACTCCACCACGCATGCGGACAAATAATGCTTCTCCAGTCTGCACATTCGAAAGAAGCCTTCCAGCAAGCGAAATTCCTCGAGGGTGAAATCCAGCAATTCAACCTTGCCCTCGAAAGCTCGTCCGAATCGCTCATGGTCGATGATGAAGAAGTTGGACGTCGTCTCTTGTAGACTAACCCTGTCTTTGAAGCGCACTGGCAGGAACTTCTTTTGCCCCAAGGGCTCTAGTAGTTCATCGATGGAAGAACTCGAGCCTGAATCGGTCTCGAGCATGGGCCCTAGAGCTAACAAGATTTCTTTCGTCTTGTCGATCTGGGGGGTTTCTGCCTTGGCAATGTCTAAGAGACCTTCTAGGAGAACCCTTGCATTCACTTCGGGGACCTTGAGAATGTTGACGAAGAATGACTTCAGCTCTGGATAATGATCTTCAAGACTGGCTCTTTGCGGTAACGGGTAACCGCTCTCCCAGATACACTTCGAAGGTGCCCACCAAGAGCCATTGGCGAAGATGAGTTCTTCATCTTCACAGAGACCCCTGAGGCTGTCAATATCCTTCACTACGTACTGCCACTACAGCTGCAGTCGGTCTTAGGGATCCGGCTTACCTTAACCTGGATTTTTCCTCCTCTGAACCGGCCTTTGAGAGCTCGGTGTAAACCTGTGACACTAGTTGAGCTATTTCATCTGTGCTCGTCGACGTGTTGGTCCATCTGATATTCTGCAATTCCTGGCAGATATCTTGATATGTAGCATTGTTCAGCCCGAGGAGGGTGGCAAAGAAATTCTTCATATCGTTCGAGTCTTCATGATGACACTTGAGAGGAAGTTTGCAGGTTAGAAATTCGGGACCGTCCCAGACGCAATCGGCGCTGAGCCGCCAGTCAGACGTGTCTACAGGATTGCAGATGCACGGATACTCGGAGAAGAATTTCTATTTCTGTTTTTAGTATTTCTGTCTGAAATGACCTGACTGTGGTGCTCACCTTGAGCTTGTCTGAGCTCTTGTAAGATGCCTCCTGGGAAATAGTCTCGTAGACTTTACGGACAACATTATAATTCAAAGGATTGAGCGCTTCGTTGTACTCATCAGGGCCGTCGCTGCTCCCGTCAGGGTCGTCAGTACTCCCGTCAGGGTCGTCGCTGCTCCCATCAGGGTCGTCAGTACTTCCGTCAGGGTCGTCGCTGCTCCTATCATGGTCGTCAGTACTCCCATCAGGGTCGTCGCTGCTCCTATCAGGGTCGTAAGTACTCCCATCAGGGTCGTCGGTGCTCCCATCAGGGTCGTCGCTGCTCCCACTAGGGTCGTCACCGCCCCAGTCAGGGTCCTTGCTGCCCCAGTCAAGGTCCTCGCTGCTCCCGCCAGAGTCCTCGCTGCACTCATATTCATCGACGCCAAGCTTCTGTAAGGCAAGTAGGGCATCAAGACAGAAGTCAACTTTTCTGTCAAGACGGCGAATCCCCAATGTAGTCAAAACGCTCCATTCTTCTTGTTGGTACCCCTCCGGCAGGCAAAGGATTGGCATGGATGACGCAACGTCAAAATCTCGGCTCATTTGTAGCAGCTCATCTTCCGGGAAATATGCGCCTCTTAGACACTGCTGGCTTCCATCAAGGCAGGAGTAAACCAAGTCCAGAAGACCTTCGGATTCTGGCATGCGATCATATTCTTCCTGATAGCTTTTAGACCAATGTGTCTGCAATGCCCCGAGAAATAGCGAGGTGTCAGTCAAGTACAAGTGGGCTAGCAGATTTGAAACGCCGTCGACCCCTTCAATAAATGGAGGATAATAGCGAATTGAGAAGGCATCTGTGAGCCATTCTGTCCACTTTTGTTTTGTATCCTCATCATTTCCGTACACGTCAAATTCTTGATGGAGAATAATGTCGGAGTCAATTTCTCCCTCTTTTGAAGCGACATCCTCAACGCCTAAAATGGTGGTGAGGATATTTTGGGTGTCGTACTTGCCTTTCGATCTGAAATAAAGCCCATCTGAGCAGGGACGAACCGTGCCTTTCGATGTAATAGCACAGAGTGACGACAGGTTCGCGTAGTTCAATCGGGAGCGGAAATGAAAGAGAAAGTGAAACTGCGAAACATAAGTCTTGCAAATATCCTCTGTCAATTCCCTTTCCGGCGCTTTGGGTGAAAGAAAATCCTTGATCTTTTGGATGACCAGGTCCGGCTCACATTCACGAACACCCATCGTCTTCTTGTAGATCTGCCTGCGTTTGGGGCTGTCACAGACATCATGGTGCAGGAGCTTCAAGCCTAAACCATCGGGAATAGCGTGCCCATTGATTGTAGGAAAGAAAACTTCTTGCTTCATGTTCGCCCAAGAGCCGTTGCGTAGATAGATGATGTCCAGGGCCCGAAGGCGGTCATTTATATTTGTGGCTCCGTCAGAGGCGCCTAGTATCCTTTCCATCAGCCCACTCATAGCATCATGCCAGTCTTTTTGCAGATGCTTGGACTTCATGAACGGCTTTTTCCGTTTTAGGTCACGCTCTATTCGTTGTACAATTGCTTCTGAGCTTATGTCGTAAACTCCGAGCAGATTCAAATGTTCTATGGCTCTTTGCTTGGTGTAGTCCTGAGATAAGTAGATCTTTTGCTGTAGATCGCGGAAAAGGGGCTTTTTCTGATCACCATACAAGAACCAATCCGGTAGAATCGCCAAATGGCCCGGCTGATATAGGTCATGGTCGTCATCGCGGGCTTCAAGAATTGGTTCCTCTTTAAGTTTTGCCAATAGGAGCGTACGAAAACCCTCCCAGAAATCGTCATGGAGCTGGTCCAAAGGTAGAAAAAGTGGCCAGGAGAAGCGAAGCTCCTTCTTAGTGCGTAGATGAGTTGCTGACAGAATGAAAGCATCCACAGCCTCACTTCGCAGTTTTTGATTCCAAGGACAATCGACGATGTCCTGCCGATTCTGCATTGTAAGGAAGTCTGACTGAATGAGAAACTAGATCAAGTTAGCAAGGCGATGGGGAGACGCAGGTATCTTAGCACGAACAGGTAAACTTCTATCCCTGAACATCGGCAAAAAAGCAAAAACATGCTCCCCCTTCTCGCAGATCAATGGTTCTTGCCCGTCTTTGCCGCATGGGAATGCCAGCTCTACTCCCACCCTCGTGTCTTCATCGATTCCAGGTCGGGATTGAGTAGGTGGCATGTCTTGGAACGAGTGGCTGAACAATTGGTAATAATATTTTTGGAATGATGAATTTTTTTCATTTTCTGAGCATTTCACAGTCAGGCAGATGGCTGTCACATCGTCACTGTACACTACCCCGACTGGAAGCTCCGCCGAAGAGGCTGGGGGTCGACTGGTATCATTTACCGTGCTGGCATTTCTTTCCACGGCTTGGGCTTCATCGCTAGCTGCTCTAATGACAGACCTGGAGGTTTCGGAAGACCAGGGCGTGCGAGTGCCGTCAACTTGAATCGATATCGATATCTTCTGTAATTTTCGTAGGAAGATAATTGTCTCGTGTGGAAGTTCTTGTAGATACCCGATAATGTCGTTGCGGTAGCTGGGGTTGTAAGTGAGACGAATCCGGGTACCAATATTCTCGGGTAGTGCACTTATTGGCGTTTCGATTGGCGTTTCGACTGGCGTTATCATGCTGAGGGCATTTGCCTGATCGTACTCGAAGCTGAATGACCAGACTCCTGATTGGACATGGACTAGACTCGAGATGAGAAACACGGATTTGAATCCTATGCCCTTTTCTCCGGTCGTCTCTTTGCTTGCGGCATTCGTTTTGGAACTCTCACGAATGGCACACATTGCATCAACGTTGGCACGCGTGAACCCATCCTCGTTTGTGTCTATGACAAGTTCCTCTGTGCCAAGAGTAAATGTTAAGACGGGCGCCTGACCTCGCTCCAAAGCAGCCTCGTACTGAGCATCATCGGCATTCTGAATCAACTCATAAAGCACGCGACTGGAGTTCTGGTAGACCTCCTGGATGGCCCTGTTCGACCATTAGTAGATAAGAATATCATTGCCGGCCCTCTGGACTTACCCCTTTAGTTCCTTGGACTCGGAGTTTATTAATCTTTCGCTGAAGTCTCTCGTCCACCTCAAGCCATCGTGGTTTTTGGCTTGGAGCAAGTCTTCCTGGACTTGTTGCGGGACCTCAAATCTTTCACGGAGTCCCTTTAGGTGTTGACAGGCTTCTTCATAGGTTGTTGGCTCTGGAGGGTGCTCAACCACACCGTCGGACATCATGTAACAATTTTGGGTAGGGGTAGAAGATGAAGGAGGAGGCGGATGGAGAGGAAAGTGGCTGAAAGATAAACCGCAAGGTGTTCATGATTCAACCTGACTTGTCCATGGCGCCTTTTGCCGAGGGCAGGCGACCATGCAGACGCAGACGCAGGGGTAGTCCGCGCGAACGACTCGAATTTACAAGGGGGCCCATCTAGCAACTGAGGCTGAACGAGCGGCTTGCATCCGTTCATACTGTAGCTCAGTAGCTACTGTCTTGGTTGCGTTGCTGGCAATGGTCTGCGAGGCGGGTGGCCGAAGATTATTGGTGAAGAGGACTCCTTTGAAGATACTGTAAGCTATGTTTCCTTCGGACCAACTCTTGGATCGCAGGTGCAGGCATGCGTTCCTGGTTAGCAGAAGCGAACGTCGCTTACTACCTGAGTGGCCGCTGTTTCAGATTGAGTGAGTGGCTGACTGCCGAGGGCGCCATGTTGCATCCCGCGAGAGCCGCGGAGAGGAAGCAATCTCGAGCGTTGTCGTCTACTCTGTACGAGTGGATCATGGACGCATGGCATCAGATAGAGTATGGAGTCTGGAGTTCTCTGCACCCGAAGGCTGCTGAGCACTAAACTGTGATTGATGGTGGTTGATGGTTGATAGCTGATGGTTTCGCAGGTGGGCTGCGGCTGCGGCTGCGCTGGAGGGCGCAGAAGACTGTCCTTTCGGACCCCTCCTTGCCCTCTACTGTCGGCTACTCTGTATTTTGAACTATTAGCGGCAGACCCCAAATTACCTCAGGTACCCAAGGTAGGACTCAGTCTAAGTATCTGTACGAGGCCATGTTCATAAGTTTGTTCTTGCCTATATAGGGATAGTACCTTAATAGTAGCGAAGGCCTATACCGAGGCCTCTAATTAGTTTATTTAACCTATTTAACCTCGTCGTCGCTACCTCGCTATCGCCTATCTACGAAAGGTATTATTACCCTTATTTACGATTATACGTATAAGCCGCGTTATAAAGCCCTTATAGTACTTTTTAATAGCCTCTCTAAGCTCGTCGCTATACTACTCGTTACGTAGAATCTCGTACGCTCTTAATTATACCTCTTTAACGCTCCGTATAAGTTAGTCTATAAAAGCGAAGATTTACCTTATTCTTAAGATCTCTCTAATACGGCTTAATTATATTAAGATTAGACGAGTTTAATAGCTAACCTAATATACTAGGTATTTATACTTTATTTATTTAGTCTCGTTTAACGTCCTTCGGGTCACATTTAAGGTCCCACGTAGACGCCAGCTTCCACTGGAAATCCCTTACGATTCCTCCTCTTCCTGATTAACTAGGACCCTAGCCAACCAGCTTCTATAGACTCAGTCTATCAAAGTTGACCATCTTCACCACTATCGCCAGCTGCCTGGGTTCAGATGGCTTCAGCTGGCCACGACTAGACACCTC